GCCCGCCCCGCCTCACTCCGAAGCCCCGCCCAGAACAAGAGGCTGGAGAGTGGGTTTCCATGGTGACGGCAAACAAAGCCCGTACTGGAGGGACAGCTGCAGAGCTGCTCTCCTCGCCGTAGCCATGATCCCCCCCGCGGACTCTCTGCTCAAGTACGACACCCCGGTGCTGGTGAGCCGGAACACGGAGAAACGGAGCCCCAAGGTAAGGACGGGTCTTAGGGAATGGGGGAGCCCGGAAGCTCCAATGGGGAAAGACAGATACCCGCCTTGAGGGTCAGGAATCCCAAGGGACAGGGGCTGAAGCGACTGGGAGTAAAGGGAATTGGGACGGAGAAGGAGGGTGGGAGAGCGGTGCAAGAAGCCCAGCTGTTGAGTGTGATCCCAGAGGGCAGATTTTTTTTTTTTTCTTTTTGTCTTTTTTCGTGTCCAGCAACGGATCGCAACCATCAGTGTCGCGCCCGTACCGGACCGGGACCGGCAACGGGATCGCAACCCTCAGTGTTGCGCCCGCACCCCGCACAGCCAGTGAGCGGGAACCGGTCTGTATGTGGGATCCGAACCCTCGGTGGGAGCGCCGCCGCGCTTCCCAAGCGGCGCACTGTAGCAGTGCGCCACCGGGCGGCCCCCCAGAGGGCAGATTTAGGATGGGAAAGGAAGTCACTGGGAGATGGATGAGGCTCATTCTTCATGGTAGCGGGGCCAATAGATCAAATAATCATTTCCCCATCACTAGACGTGTGAAAGCAGAGGCCTGAGAATTCCTGCCAGAAACATCCATTAAAGGGGATACAAACATTGGGTTAGGACCAGAGACTTCATGACCTCCTTAGCTGTGATATAATTGCCGAGGAGTCAGGCGGGGAAAGTAGGCTGGGAATAAGGGAGAGGTGTGCAGGAGACCTGGAGCAACCCGGAGAGCCGGGTGGCGTGGAGCTTGGTGCCTGAGTCAGCTTCTGCTCTTGCCTGTCCCTTCTCAGGCTCGTTCACTGAAAGTCAGTCCCCAACAGCCTGGACCCTTGGGTCCAGTTCCACAGCCACCAAAGACCAAGCTCCCCTCAACTTCCTGTGTCCCAGATCCTACAAAGCAGGCAGAAGAAATCTTGAATGCCATCCTGCCCCCAAGGTAAAAAAAGGAGGCGTAGTCGCTGGGAAAAGGCCCAGGCTTTTACATCCCTGAATTTGGGAATGTGGGGAGAGACACTACCTCTGTTCCTGACTGGGGTTTGCTCCCAGTGTTCCAGAGCTCCTAGAGGGTGGTGGGAGACCTCTTCTCTAAATACCCTGATTTCCTGAGTGCTTTCACCTAGTCTCATGACTTTAAATTCCATCTATATGCTTATGGCTCCCAAATGTGTTTCCAGCTGTGACCTCTCCCCTAAACTCTAGACCCATATATTCTATTTCCTCATTATCTTCATAAAGATGTCTAATAGACATCTCAAACTTGACATGTCCATACTAAATCACAATGTCTTCCTCCCTCAACCTGCTCATACCCAGTATTCTCCTTTCTACTAGTGACACAGGCCACCTTTCATTCCTTTTGGTCTCTCACACCATATGTCCTACCCTTCATCAAATTCTTTTGCTCCACCTTCAAATTATATCCCAAATCCAACTACTTTTCACCACATCTGCCTCCACCATCTTGTTCGTAGTCACTGTTTGTCACCTGCACTACTGCAATGGCCTCTTATCTGAAAAACCTGCTTTAACTCTTTGTTCCTACAATCTATTCTCCACACATCCCCTAAATCATAAGTCAGATCATGCCAGTCTTCTGCCAGAAACCCTTTAATGGCTTCCCATCTCACTCAGACTAAGTCCTTACAATGGCCTGGAAGACGTGGCATGTTCTAGCCCATGATATATCCCTGATCTTATCTCCTGCTATTGTTCCTGTTCACTGTGCTAAAACCACAGGAGCCTTCACTTGCTGTTTCTGAAACAACTCAATCACTTTCTCACCTCAGAGCCTTAACAGTTGCTGTTCTCACTGCCAAGGATGCTCTTCCCTTCATATACCCTTGGTTTCCTTCATTTCTTCACTTACGTCTTGCTCAAGTATCATTTCCTCAAGGAGGCCTTCCTTGAGAATCCTGTACAGTCATTCCTTGGTATCCATGGGGGATTGGTTCCAGAGTCCCTGCAGATACCAAAACCCGTGGATGCTCAAGTCCCTTATATAAAGTGGCATAGTATTTGCATATAATCTAGGATCCTTCCATATACTTTAAATTATCCCTATGGGCTGGCTGGTTAGCTCAGTTGGTTAGAGCACAGCCATATAACACCAAGGTCAGGGGTTCGGATCCCCATACCAGCCAGCAGCCCTCCCCCCCGCCAAATATTATCCCTAGATTACTTATAATACCTAATGCAATGTAAATGCTCTGTAAATAGTTGTTATACCTATTTTTAAAATTTGTGTTATTTCTTATTGTTGCATTTTTTTCCCAAATATTTTCAATCCATGGTTGGTTGAATCTGCCCATGAAGAACCCGTGGATAAGGACGTCTCACTGTGTAAAAGAACACCCCTCTCCAACATGATTACCTTTCCCTGCTCTTTTGTTCTGCAGCTACATTTATCACTGACATGCCTTTTCAACTGTCTTTATGTAAAAATTCACAGCACGGTCTTTAAGGCTATGATGAAAAGGGTGAATAGTCAAAGAGAGACTGTGATCTCCTCTGAAGTGAAGGTCAAGGGAGGAGGGTGATTTTTCAGTTGATTCTCTCCCACCAGTGGCATAGAAGTCCTCTCTCCCATGGTGGTTCTGTCTTTAAGCTCCCTCCTTGTGTTTCCAGAATTTGACCATGCCTCTGGCACAGGTTCATGATGGAGGCCCATGCAGGCATACACTTTCAAGAACCTTCCCACTCTGTTTTTTTAAAGAAAAAAGAAGAAGAAAAAAGAAAGCAAAAAAAGAACCTCGCCACACCCAATACACACATTTGCCTCTTTCTTGCTTGCACAAGGTCTGTGGTGTCCTGTGTCTCCCACACATAAGTCAGTGAGGCCCCACTGGGCCTTCTGTTGAGACCATACAACAATGACCACAAATCTGTCTTCAGCATGTTAGGAGGGTAAGATCTGGAACAGAGGACCCTTGGAAAGTGGCAATTGGTCACCTACCCAGACTCAAGGTAGGTAGCATAGTGGGTGTGGCTTTGGAGCCTCACACCCTAAGAGGGAGAGAGAGAGAGGGATTCTGGTGGGTTGGTGGTAGAGCTGCCACTCACTCCCGCTCAGGCAAAGAGCTCAAAGGACTCTCTTAAATTGATGGGTTTCGCTCAGCCTGGTTGTGTCTGTGCCATAGGGAGTGGGTTGAAGACACACAGCTATGGATCCAGCAGGTGTCCAGCACTCCCAGCACCAGGATGGATGTGGTGCACCTCCAGGAGCAGCTGGATCTGAAGCTGCAGCAGCGGCAGGCCAGAGAGACAGGCATCTGCCCTGTCCGCAGGGAGCTCTACTCGCAGTGTTTTGGTGAGTAGGCCTGGCGGGGGATGGGCACTACACACCCTATTGCCTCCTTCCCTTTCCCAGCACAGATCCAATGCCTGAGCAACCCCTAGCTGAAGCTCACCCCATCCTGGAGTCAAGTCTTCTCTCCCTGCCTGACCCACAACTGAGCAACTGCTAAATGCCCCTTCTTCCCCCTCCCAGCCCCACCTCTCCTACCAGTGTCCCACCTGTATTCCTGACAAACTGGTTCTTTACCCCTTAGCAGATGTCTGGAGTAAGATAAGAACTTCTATTTTAAATCTTTGTTTTTTCAAAGATTGCTATAAGGAGTGAGTGTTAAATATTTAATCAGAAAAATTAATGTTCTGTATTTATATTCATCCATCAACATTTGGCCCTTGGTCCAGAACAATACTGCAGGTAATATTGCAGGTAACTAGTAGACACAAGGGATTTAAGATCTACCTCCTTGAGTGTTGGTGTCAAATGGGTATCCCCCAGCCCAGTCTCACTGGCCCTTGTGGACTCTGATCTGCAAACCATCTCCAAACCGTCAGGCAGTTGCATGGTCTAGAAGGCTCTCCTCAGTATGAGTATGATTATAGTTTGCCCTCCACGTCAGCATTTATGGAGAAGATAGGTGGGCAAGCTCTAGACCATGCTGTTCCAGCCCCAAACCAGTCCAGCCATGGGGGCACACAGGATTTGCCAGCTGCTTTAAAAGAGCCATTATCAGGGCCGGCCTGTGGCTCACTCGGGAGAGTGCGGTGCTGATAACACCAAGGCCACGGGTTCGGATCCTATATAGGGATGGCCGGTTAGCTCACTGGCTGAGCGTGGTGCTGACAACACCAATCCAAGGGTTAAGATCCCCTTACCGGTCATCTTTTAAAAAAATAATAAATTTTAAAAATAAATAAATAAAATAAAATAAAACAGCCATTATCTTCAAACTGAAAAAGTCAGATTTCTTTGAATAGTACCCAGTTTCTGTCTGAGGATAGAAGGGAGGGGACCCACTGCTGCAAACAAACCTGGGACTCTTGTCTCCCTCTGCCCTGGCTAAACCAGGCTTGCTGACTCATGCTACTCTCCCAAGTGCCAAGTTCAGAGGACTGGCTGCATGGCAAGGCTGTTTGGGCCACTGAAGGCACTCTCCCTAAGGACCTTCTCTGAGACCTTGTCTCCAAGTGAGGAGATACACCCTAGAGTCCTGAGGACAGGTGGTTTGCAGTTGACACAGTGCATTTCCCCTCCTGCCTGTCTTCTCTGATCTCATGGTGTGTGTGCACTGGAAGATGAGCTGATCAGGGAGGTGACCATCAACTGTGCGGAGAGGGGACTGCTGCTACTGCGAGTCCGGGACGAGATCCGCATGACCATTGCTGCCTACCAGACTTTGTACGAGAGCAGCGTGGCGTTTGGCATGAGGAAGGCACTGCAGGCCGAACAGGGGAAGTCAGACATGGAGAAGAAAGTGAGTGGGGTTTACCATGACCTTTTGGCTCTTTGTGACTCTTCTGTCAATCTCAGGGCCATGTGGTTCATTCTGGTCCCCTAGGGTGCTCTGCTGACATTCACAACCCCCGGACCTTCGGTTGAGTGTAATGGCCAGCCTGGAGGCCTGGCAGAGTCCATCTCCTCTATGGACGCTCCATGCCAGTTGCTGACCCCCCACTGGGTGGCAGTACATACCCTGGCAATGTCTTGGGTTGGGCAGCTGTGTCCCAAGTTCCCTCCACACAGGCTCTCACACCACCCCATCCACTTGGCGACATCCCAGGATGACTGCATTCTGTCCTCAGATTGCAGAACTGGAGACAGAAAAGAGAGATTTGGAGAGGCAAGTGAATGAGCAGAAGGCAAAATGTGAGGCCACTGAGAAGCGGGAGAGTGAGAGGCGACAGGTGGAGGAGAAGAAGCACAATGAGGAGATCCAGTTCCTGAAGCGGACGAATCAGCAGCTGAAGGTAACCAAGCCGCAGGCCCCGTGGAGATGCGGCCCCCGCCCCCAGGCACGCGGGCCAGCCATTGGGTTCCTTTCCTCTGTGGACTGTTCGGTGTTTGTCCACACGCACAGCCAAGGAGTGAAGGAAGCTGATGTTGCCGGGCGGGGCGGGGGGCTCATTACCTAGATCCTCCATCCTTCTGGCCCCAGAGGCTGGCTGCTCTCAGCTCTGAATCCCTATGACACCTCAGCCTGGCTCTCCAGTGGAGGATGTTTCCCCACCTGGGAAAAAACGTCGCCTACCTCAGGGAGAGGTAGATATGGTAAAAAGTGGAACTTCTTTTCCCTCGAAGCTGCTACTTTGGAGCCTTCCTCGAGTAGACTGGGTCTCTTCAGGCTTTCATGGGCGTGCTCTCCCACTGGCAGTCCCCTCTGAGGCAGCGTTTGGGGATTAAGCAGGGAACACATCAGAACTGGTGGGCGGGCAGGGAATGCCCTGACAGAGGAAGAGCCATTTCCAATTGGGAAACCTTCCCCAGGTATGTGGTCAGAGGAACCCAGCTGTCGGTGTTTTTCCATAATGCCAAATGCTGATGGCACACTTTTATCCCACTGAGGTGACGGGAGGGAGGGGAACCGGGGGAGAGGTTGTGCAGTAGGCCCCACTCCAGGCCTCTGCAACTTCAAGTTCTGTCTGGTTCCAAAGGTTCTCAAAGGTTGGGCCCCAGACCAGCATCATCCTCCACCACCAAACAACTTTTACAAATACAAATTATTGGGCCCAGCCCAATCAGAAACTTTGGGTTTGGAGCCCAGCTGTGTTAAGGTCTCAGGTGATTCTGATGCTTGCAAAAGTTTGGGAATCACTGTTCTAGATATATGGCCTGCTGACATTTAGTGTCTCTCTCCTGTGGCCCTGGCCAAAAGGGGCTCCTGGACATATCTCCCTGTGCTCCCCAGTCTCATAGAAAGCTTACATTCTTGAGATGGGCAGGCTTGTTGGTCCTATAAACCAAAAAATGCCAGCAATTTGTGATAAAGAAGGCTTTCTATTAACCACTAGTGGAGGATTACAGATTTTCTTGTTACTGAACAGTATAACAAATACAAAGAAAAACAACAAACTTTCACAGGCAGATGTAAATCTGTTTACTTAGCAGACTCTGAAGCCACTTCCCTTATCTGCCATATTCCTTTATCACAAGCCCGAGTTTCTCAGTTCCTCTTATAGTATTAATAAGAGAAAAGCAAAATAGCTTAGCATCTTCTAACATTTAAAAGCAACCCTGTAATCCTCAGAGTGAAGGATTCTTTAGAAGTGAGTTATTGCCTCAAAGCTGCACTACGAATAAAGCAGTGTTTGCAGTCCCCAGGACTTAAAGATCTGTCCACATACCATGATAGTAAATTATTTTACTGGCTTGCCAGAGGAGCAAATAACTCCCAACTGTCTTAAGCTTTACATACAAGATGGACAGCTCACTTCTCACTGGTAGCAATTTTCTCTAATTGGGTGTCAAGTTGTCTCAGTGTCTGAAAACTTGCTATTTCCCAAACCTCTGGTCCCAGTAGAGCTCCCAGAATCCTAAACCAGAGAGCCAAATGTAACTTAGATATATCCAGGCCTGAAATCTGAGCCATGAAAAACCACCATTTCAACAACTTATTCAATTTCTTTTCCAATGCTTTATATTGTACACTGTACCATTATTATATGGAAACCAGGACAGCTCTGGTTTCTCCTCATGTAGTAAGACTGTACACCAAGTCAGAAATTCACTAATCTAGAAAATGTGGAGTTGGGAATGAAGGAAGGGGGGCAGCATTTGGATTATTCTTCACAGAGACTGTTATCACCTCTCAGCTATTTGTGTTAAGCTGCCAGTTTCAAATATTAATGGAGTTTTTGTTTTTCAGGCCCAACTGGAAGGCATTATTGCACCAAGGAAGTGATAATTTCCATATTGGTCTCAGCAAGCACTACTACCCCATCATAAGCCTTTTGTAATAAAAGCTAGTTTCCCAAGTGAACAAGCCATACCCCTCCCCTGATCATCACCTACACATTTGTCAGAAGTCACACTATTGCCCCAGTGTCACGTAAGGTCTGACAGCCAGGCTGCTGGTTGGGCAAGGGAAGGTGGTGTAACGTAGCCCCGATTGTCTCAGTATGTGGCTTACTAGCCAACCTTGGGATTTGCCAACTCAAATAGTACGGCTTAGAAAGCGAGTGCTTTCTCATGACTCCATACCATCACTTATTTCTTGCCAAATCAAGCTGCTTCTCTGCCCCTCAAATTTTTGGTTCACAATTCACTTTGTGCCGTAACTTGGGCTTCTCTAGCCTCAGTCCTGCCTTTATTTGATGTCTTTTCATCTCCACTCCAGTACATTTCTAGTAACTCATTTTGGAATGGTTTCATACTGTATCATCTTATCTCCACCTGCCAAGTCAACTGGACCCCTTCTTCCTTAGTGTGACTGCCTAGGTTAGGAAAGAATGGCAGAGTCAAACCCATCACTTTGGAGAAAGTAAACGTTTGCTGAAAAGGAATACAAATCACAGCATCTTTTGTGAGCTGTTTGCACCTCAGTTCTTCCTCCAGATTTGATCTGTTTACCTTATTCTGCAGAACACCAAACCCTGATTCTACACCCACCATCTCCCAGTTAGCTATGCTTAATTAACAACTGGAGCGGTAACCAAGTCTTACACAGTTCTAGTTACTAACAATAGGGCTATGACTTGTAGAAAACTGCAGTTTACTATTCCTCTTAAGTAAAACTAAAAATTAGGAGGCTTAAGATTCTGGTTCTGGTTCTGGAGACCCCAAAGATTGAATTAGTGACATAAATCTTTAAATAAGAACAGATCAGGATGGGCTAGGGAGACAAGCTGGGTGCCTTCCATCATTAAGTAACATAACCTAAGAAGTTACTAAAATCTTCACTTGGCTAGAATGCCTCAAGTGTTCAGGATTCCCCTGAAGAGGTGGGAGAAGGCATTCATTCCTTAGCAGAGCTTTGATCTGACATCTGTCCTGGTTAGGACTTCAAGGTTCACTGGAAGAACTGTAGTCCCACAAGAACTGTATTCCACTGAGTTGACCATGCCTCACACACTCAAATCGCAAATTTGAAGACATAGCTTTTACCCTTATCCAGTATCCTGAGGAATTATAAGATCCCACTAAAATGACCTGCCTGTGCTGTCACTTTCATGGGAAAGAATTCTGTTCATTGAGATCTGCTAGTTCCATGACTCCTCAACAGTAAAGCACATGTCCTAAATGGGTCCACTTAACAGACTCTGAGGGACAGAAGTTGCTGTAGCTTTTTGCTCCTACTTTGAAGCCTAGGACATATATACACAACCATCCTTGAAATTTTCTTTTTACAATTTTATACGTTGCTGTTCCAAATTGCTAATTACCAGTACAAAAGAAATGCCACACTTTCCATTTTGTACACCACATCCCCCTACTTCTGTGAGACATTTACATGACAGGGTTACACTCTGGAGGAACTAGAGGACTACTTCAAGCATCTGAAGTGCCAATGGACTCGATCACTGAAATCTTTAGTGGTGAGGGGGCTTTATTTTCACTAGTCCTGGTGAATGGCTTCAACTGTCAAACCTCAGACAAATGCATTATGGCCTTAGAGATGCCAACTGGACATGAAAATGAACACAACATTTAACAGAGTACATATCTTTGTATAATTTCATAAACAACTTTTCAAATGTTACTGCTTATATTTGAGTTTTTTGTGTTTGTGTTTCTGTCCCTCTGAGTCATTGGTCTTCTTTTTGTTCCTGTTCCTGTTTTTCACATTGTGTGTTTCATAGTAGCGAACACCAACTTTTTTGGATTGCTGCTGCCGTGCTGCTCGCCTCCGCTGTAAAAAAATGGCAAAAGGACAAAAAACCGTCAAACATGGAAAGCCATAAAACAGGAGCCTCTGTTTCTCATCCCTGTGCTCCACCCACAGCCACTGGAAGCAGTGCTAATGAGGGAGGGTTCACTTCACAGACCTAAGTTTCCTCTTCCATTGTGACTTGTGAGTTACAAATTCTTGTTTGGTCCAAACCTCACCCAGTGCTTGAATCCTTTCTGCAGCATTCCTGATAAGTGGTCTCCCTGAGCAAATCTGAAGCCTTCTGATAACAAACCATTCCCCTCCCCAGAGGGCTGGCTCCCACTCTGAACAGCTCAGTTACAAAGCCATACTGCACAGAGGTCAGCAACCTATGTGCCCAACAGGTCTCCTCATGTCATTTCCCTGGGACCACGCAAACCAAACTGATTCTTCTAGAGGACAGTCCACGGGTTTGAAGACAGTAATCAGGAACTCCTAAACATAGGACACAGACTCAAAGGACCTTCATCCAGTGGGCAACCTCTTGATCCTAATTAGCTGACCTCAATGAGGTCACTGAGGACTGGTGTTCCTAGGATTCAGTTCTAAACCATTTGTTTCAGAAAGAGTGGCTCCAGAGAGCTGGATTTCCCTCTACCTTCTATACCTGTGCCATACTTAAGAACCAAAACACTTACCTCCTTAGATGTAAGTATCCTGGGAGTTTTATTCAAATATTCCTCGTCCCTCTGTGCCTTCCGCTTCCTTCCCTTTTTGGTAGGTTCTGGATACAAGCAATACACAAACACACACACAAAAAACAGGAGTTTTCAAAATTTGTCTGTGAACCCTATGGTGGGAATGAGCGTGATGTGTCAGGAGCAGGAGGAAGAAGGCCAGTGTGGATGGAGCAGGTGAGCAAAGGGGAGAGAGTAAAGCAGGCCAAGGCAGGGAGGGCACCAAGTCAGGCGCCCTCATGTAAACACCCTCAATAGGGAGGCTGTTAGTTAATTGTAATAAAGAATAAACGCGGGAAATGCACGGCACCACCCCTCCAAACCACTGCAATTTGTGTACGGATCCACCCTTGGATTCTAAGGTTAATAATGTACGCTTTTTAAGAAGTTTCCTGAACTGCCAATTTAATCCTAGAAAATGTGCAGAATGACAAGTGGATTGTCCAAATTGTATGATAAATAGTATATGGAGTCAGGGTTATCTGCCAGATATGGTAAGTATCTGTGGATGATATTACAAGAGACAACTTGGAGATTCAATTTAGGTTTCTCAGAGTTCTAAAGATGCAAATCACATCTAAATCACTTAAATACTTTATCTTTACCTGTGTCATCTAGAGCTTCTTCAGGGGGTTTTCTCTGTTCTTCAGATTTTGCAAAAACCTTTTCACTCAGCCCCTTGGATATTCTGAAACACAAAAGCAAAGTAACAAAGCTGCCCAACATTCCTTTCAGCTGCCCAAATCACATGCTGACTGGGGGACCTGCAACAACCTTCCAGATTAAAGAAAACCCACACCTATTTACATAGTTAATACCAGTGGGAGATGTCAAAATCCAACAGCTTTTGTAGCTCCCTGGGCATTTCTAAAAGATTGGACACCTAAACTTCTCATAGTTCTGGTAGCTGAATTTTATAAAATTTACTTTTCAGAAAAAAAAAAGATCACTTTTTAGAAAGTGGTAAAGCTCCAATACTCACGGTAAGTTTCCAAGAAAGGAACAAACTGCAATTTGTGAGAAGACGGAAATATTACCTGACTGCTGAAAACCTTTTAGCTTTGGCTTTGTTTAAAATTTTCTGGTATTTAGCAATCTTTTCATCCAGAGCTCGAAGAACTGCCTTGGTACTGTCTTCCACATGCTCTTTCTGGGACTCCTGGGAAGACTCTTCCTCGTCGGCCCCCAGCTGCTCCTGTTCCTCCTCCTCTCCAGCAGAAAAGCTCTCAAGCTCTTCTTCGATATCTGACATCTCCACAGGAACCAGGTCATCCCCAGAAAACTGGGGCACAACGTTGATTTTGCCAAAGTTCTGCCGAACCCGTGCAAGAATCTGTTGCATCTCTGAGTTACCATCACAGTGACTGTTTTCTTTTTCTTTCTCAGTGACAGATTGTGACCCTTCATCTGCAATGTCTGTGGTTTCCTCTTCTGGGTTGCTCTGGGTTGTTTCTCCAGCAACTTCCAAAGATGAGAAGGGTGAAAGCTATTGAGGCCCAAAACAGGTGGGGGTGGGGGAGGGAAAAGGAATCAGAAAATGAACACTGGATTTTTGAACTCATACCTTGCTCTCAAATGAGGCAGTCTTCTTCTCAGGACTAAAGGAAAGTAGTGAAAACACCCAAATTTGAGTCGCAACATTATTCTGAGCCAATGTCCTTTAAACCCAGAAACTAGTATTAAAGGATCAAAGGACTATATCTGTGGTCCCAAAGTATCAGCCAACTATAAGAGTATTTAACCCCTGAAACCAATCAAGAATTTACTGGAGACAGGTAAGATCCCCAGATGATCCTTGAACACTACGCAATGAGCACACGACTACGTGCAGATGGCAACCAGGCCCAATCGGGAGGAGAAGGAGAACTGCACTAGCTTAGAAAGTGTCAAGTACAGAGGCACTTGAAGAGGCATCTTAGGGCTGGCCCGTGGCTCACTTAGGAGAGTGTGGTGCTGGTAACACCAAGTCAAGGGTTAAGAACCCCTTAACAGTCATCTTTTTTTTTTTTTTTTTTTTTTTTNCGGGAGCGCCGCCGCGCTTCCCAAGCGGCACACTATCCAGTGCGCCACCAGGCCGGCCCAACAGTCATCTTTTATTAAAAAAAAAAACAAAGAAAAAGAAAAGGCATGTTGAAGGAGAGTATAATGTAACGAGGGGACTTAGTGAGTGGGGAGAGTACAGAATGAGCACTCTGGATTTGGGGACACTAAATGACTGGCCTGTTTTAGATAACAGTACAAAGGACGTGCAAGCTGTCTGCTGGTGCGTCACACACACAATCTCATTTTATCTTTGCAACCGAGACTCACAGAACTTAAGTGATTTTCCAGAGTCAGGAATGGCCAGGCAAAGTGCTAATTAAGTCAGGAATCTGTAAAATTCAGGACATTGTATACAAAATTTGTACATACACTTGTACATTTTTCTAGGGAGGCAACCTTTAGCTTTCAGATTTTCAAGGTCTACTGCCCTCACCAAAAAAAGACAATGAAAAGAAGTGAATCACAGAACAGGGGACACAATAGTTTCTTGAGAATTACATGAACTAATTATCTAAACTTAGTGACTAGAGGAAGATTGAAGATCATTCCAGTGCTTCCACATAGGGGCACAAGAGTGCAGTGATACAGACTTCCAGAATGATCCGGGATCAAGCTGCTCTCTAATTCAGAACCCTCGAGTGGATTCCCGTCCCTTGCCCATCACATTCCAGCCACAGTGACTTCAGTACTCTGGACAC